ACYTAAATGGAATTCATAGGCATGAAATAATTTGTTTAAAGGTTAGATTTCTTTCAATTCAATAAACGACTTGGAGCCGCACATGAAAAGCACAAAAGATGCATTGTCTGAGCAAGTTGTTTATACCAGAAGCATCTAGAACAAGCAATTAAGAGAATGTGAACTCAACCTGCAAAMGAGCAATTTATTTCTTTTCTATGTTGGGTATATAAAGGGAGAAAGCAATGCTGACTTTTTCAAATTAAGCTTTTAACCAGGTAGTACAAATGCACATTCACCTAAGGCACTTATGTTGCCCATGATCATCATTACAACACCTGGGTACCTCAAATTTTTTTTGCACTGTTAATCATCTCTCCCTGTGGGAAGATTTCAGTTGCTCTAGCATGATTAGCAGTTAAAAACACCCAAAAATAAAAGCATATATGCTCAAAAATGCATTTCACAACCTATACAAATAAACTTCTAAGTAGTTTTCTAAAAGAAAATTCTATAGGAAGCTGCTATTCTTGCTATATTTTAGGTGCAAAACCACCAAAGCTTGCTCTGCTCRATCAGGTCAAGTCTTGGAGCAAACCACCAACACTCAAGTTAAATCAGACTACTAAGCCCAAACAGGAGTACCTTACCATTCAAGTCCCAAACTGGTACTTTCCCACTGCTCTGGCCTGTATTTCCCGCTGGAGAACATTGCTCACCTCTACCGTGCTCTTCCAATAGTCTGGATCAGATAATCTTTTGGAGAATGCCCTGGTATCCTTTTTTTGTCCCATAAATGTAAGAATCCTTCAGGTCAGGATTCAAGAGAAGATGAAGCAAGCATAAGCCTCATCTTGTCAGACTTTGGATACAGCTACACTCAGGTCCTGGGATTTGCTCCTCAAGTTCAAAGTGTAGAGAAWGCCTTACTTAATGCAACATCTCACAAGGAATTGGTAGCAGGTGGAGACCTCTATCCATGTCTCAGATTAGCCATAGGAATACCTTGTGCATAGCTATTGTGGATATACCRACTGTGTTCAAACACAAATCAGTGCTCCCCAGTTTCAGTTATTCTTTTGTAGTCTTATAAAACAAGTCWTATAAACCCCTGGCACAAAACAGGCCTTAGCAACATTGACAGATCATAACAAAGATCAAGTGCTGTCCTAAGATCCAGATGAAAGTTGAAAAAACACCCCACTTACAATTAAATAGAAGCAATTAATGAAGTCAAAGAGTTATACAATGCCAATCAACTGGGCCAGGGAGGGACGGAAGTAACTTATCCAGATTACTATTTGAGAGATGTGAGAGGAAAAAACAGAGGATGTTTCTAGCAACAAAAAACCCTTGAACTTGCATGAACTTGAACTGATCTAAATTAATAATCCTATTAGATCCTCTTAACTTTGGCCAGGATATAATTATAATGATTGCAGACRGCAGGACCAAAACCCAGTGGGGGTCTGTCTGCAAGGCTCAGCTCCACTTGAAGGAGATTTCCTATTGCCCGGGGCATGCGGGAAGACAGAGTTTACAAAAACACACTTGGCAACCATATGAAATGGATTTTACATACGAATGACTCACTACACCTAAGATTTCGGCTTGGCAAAAAGACAATAGCAGGGGACACCACAGGCCTGTCAAGGCATAACTGCACGTCAATGTTGAACAGGAACCAATCCCTCATTGGCTCCCAAAACAGGAACTGGGGGCTGAGGATTGAACAAAATMATGAAGTAGCAGGTTCAAAAACAAAAAGAGGTCCTCTTTCAAGCAGTCATGAAAGTTGCAATCATGGGATGCTGCATACACACAATTTACCTAAATTCAAAAAACCTACTACTTTAGGCTGTCAAACATCAAGGTAAACACAAAGACATCACTTTTTGCTGAGGAAAATCCCTAGCTGTGAACCAGTGAGATGGGAGCTAGAAAACAAGTCATAGAAGTATACATATTTGTTTGACCTATAATTTTATTTTCCCCTAGATAAAATGTAGTAKATCAGACCAAGTTCCTGACCGTGCCAGGCCCTGGCACAGAAAGAGACTATAAAGGATCTTTGATCTCTGCTACCATTAGAGTACACGGCCAGAATTCAGGCAACCCTCCAAGACAGAAGCAAAGGTTGGCCATTTGAGACAAAACACTGAAAACAGTGAAATGAGTTCACCATTTCCCTCTCTTCCATGTTCAAAGACATGGTTTCATGGTGCACTCTCTAATGCATAGGGCAATCTCTTCTCYCCAAACCTGRCCCCAAGAAAAAGCTTACTGCTCTGTACATTTTCCCAAAATGGATGTTACTTAAACTAAAGAAACCCTTGTTATTTGCTTTCATGAATCTTACTCTTGGCAATTGCAGACAGGCACTTAGGATCACCTACACATTGCTAACMAATGCTCGCACCAATCCCCACAAGCACATCTCCATGCACTAAAACCACCAAACCACTGGGGAAAAATATCACCACCGTTCCTGCTTCACAAATCACAAGTACCAGATGCCTCACCTGATGAGGAAATAGGAAATTTTAAATATAATTTTAAGTTATAATATATAATTTTAATAATGTATTATATTTAATTTATAATATAAAACATATAATTTAAAATCTAAAAAATACTCTGAATCACAGCGAAATTAACATTTCGTTTTCCCTCTGTAATAGCCAAAATGTAAATTATTATTTACTAAGCAGTAATACCCACATCTTAAATATGTGAAACAAACAGATGCAGCAGATAAAAGAAAGCACATTAAGGGGCAAGACACAAAGGCACAGAACCTACATTTTCATGTTCCAGTTCCCTGCCCTAACACTGACTCCCTACACCACCCTGAAAWATATCACTTGTTGCCTCCATGCTTCAAATTATGTTCGTAAAATGGAGGCAATGCCACTTCATCACCATCTCACAAGGATWAACTGAAGATTGTGAAATGTCTGCATATCACAGGATTGAAGGTCATTCAGAAGTCAGGTAAGAGTGAGAAACATGTTTTAACTAGCACTGAAAGTATTTTATTACCCTTGCAGATGGAGCACTCCTGTAGCCTTAGTCACCAAGTGAGATCCAGTGAGGCTGCCAAGCAAAAAATGTGTTTGCCTGTTCACTCTGTGAACTAGGGTGCAATGGCAATACTGACATTCTCATAYTAAATAAAAGGAATGTAATATGCATACTTCCGTGCACACAGTTTTGTGGAGGATTTTTGGCAGCAAAAGTAAGCTCTTGTTAGTTAATAGAGCCACAGAGATTAACAGAGCATTGGAGTATCAAAAAATTTGTTCACAGCAGGTAAATTCACACCCTGCAGTGAACCAACAAAAGACCACTTAAACCCTAATTTCAGCCTTCATGGTTGAGCCAGTGACACAYTTCTGTTAGCACTACATGGGGATATTTTTCTAGATCAGAATAACAAAAGCACTTGTGCTTCAATGGCATTTTCGATTTCCCACTAAAAAAGGAAAGGGAATCTGTTATAATCTGAAGTCCAAACCAATCTCTTCTATTTACACTTGTTGATGCAAGTAAAACTAGATGATGGTATACACTTTTGTATTCCCATGATTTTTAAATTCATGGAAACGTTCAAAATTTGGTTGTTTCATCAAAACAAAACTATCACATTTTGGCTTTTTACCCAASTACTCATGAAGATACACCGTATTCAGAGAGCCTGCTTTTCTATGAACAAGGAAGCAAAGAGTGAGACTTCAGCATTTCTGAAAGTCAGCCAACAAATCATCAACATACCAAAACAGAGATCAAGATTAGTATTAGAAAGAGAAATSTCAATATGTAAGTAAACGCGAGATGACCTGCAAGTACTAAGGAAAGAAAAAAAATTGGCTTGCTGATAAAGCTATGCCTTCAAAAATTAGTTACAGGTAAAAAATGGGTTCCTAACAAGAAAGCATACAAAAAAATATACATTGAAGAGCAGGGCAAWGGAGGGTAAAAGTCAGTACCTACTACCAGGGTCCTGGTTTTTTTTTTTTTTCTCTGAAACAAACACAGGCAAAAATCAAGGATGTTAAACCTCMCTCTCTGACCCTTGGAGGGAATCTGCAGCACCGTCCCTGTGCCTACTGAGCTTCTGCTGGAATAGTGGAAAGTTGGATCTGTAACAAAGATCATTTTTCCACCGACAGTTTAATTTTAGAAAGGCCAACAAAAGGCACCGCTCTGAACACCCCGAGCGCGTTACTTCCCCTCCCGATCCAWCAACGCCCGCTTCCTCCTACAGACACGATGCCGTGGCAAAAGCACGGCTCCACTCRGCCGCTTTAGCCGAACAAACCGTTCTTCCTGCCTGGAGGAAAAAAAAAAAAATCCAAAAAATCCCCACAGCCCAACAAACCGATGCCATAAAAAGGCAAAAAAGCAGAACCACAGAAGGAAGGGCCGGCGTGCACCAGATCCCGCTCCGCCGCCCTCTCGCAGCGGACCYGGCGCCTCCGGTGCTCCGCAAACCCGCGAATGGCGGCATTTCCAAACSCGGGGTCCAGCACCGACCCCGGGGCTGTGCCTGCACCGCCGCCGCCCGCCCTGCCCCACCATGGCCGCCGCGCCCGCCCGCCCGGAGCTGCCCCACAGCAGCCGCCGCCGCCTGGGCAGCGCCGCCGCGGGGCTCCGGCGGGTCTCCGGCGTGGCTCCCGCCCGGCGCTCTCCCCGTCCCGGCCGCACCTGTCGGGTGTTGCGCGGTCCGGGGCGGGGAGGGCGAGCGGGCACAACSGCAGCAGCAGCGGCGGCAGACAATGGAGGAGTGAAGGACGGACACATTGACACACGGGCGCCTCCGCCCGCCCGCGCCACTCCAGGCACCTCCCCGGGGGGGGAAGAACGGAACCGCGGCGGAGAAGGCGAAAAGGAGAGACAAAAGAAAAGCGGAACGTGTTTCACAACTTGAAAACCGGGGACAAGAGCGGACAGACTCCTTCTCTCCGGYAACACCGGACGGAAAACTGGCGGAGGGCAACAAGCCAGCACGCAGTGACCCCCATGCCTCGACAGGAATGGTTCGCCCCGCAGTCGGCCCCGGCAGGGCGGGGCTGCGGGCGGAAGGCGCCGTGAGGCGCGGGGCGGGGGCGGTGCCGCGGGCGGGGGCGCTGCGGGCGCCGTCCCGGGCTGATCCCGCCTTACCGTGCGTGGGGAGCGCGATGGCTCCCCCCAGGAAAGGCGACCTGAGCGCGGAGGAGAAGGACTTGCTGGCAGTGATCGCCACAGGTGAGCCCGCCCGGCCCTCGCCGCCTGCGGCCCCRGGCCGCAGCTCCCACGGGCCCCGCTGGCCGTGCCCCGGGAGGGTTTTTGTGTCCCCACACGTTGGGGGCGGCGGGTGAGGCGCCGTTACCGGCCGCTCGCCGCGGGCTCCCCGCGCCTCCGGCCGCGCTCGTTATATCATTAACAACACTCGTGTCACGGCGCTGAGGGCCGCCTGCCTTCCCGCCCCGCCTYCGGGCCCGTCACCTTTCTCCCTGCCGGGGACAGTGGCCGTTCCCTTGGTTTACTGCCCTCTCCGGCAGGCCCGCGTCACCCCGGGAGTGCAGTGGGGGGCGCGGTGCAGCGAACTGGGGAAGCTCGACTGGGCGGGTCTGACTCTGCCAAGGAACGCTTACGTCTTACTAATAATGTCTGTTGGCATTTGCCGAATTATTGGTGTTAATGTTCTCTGCGAAAAAAGAAAAAAAAGTTTTCCTGGGGGTAATCCACTCCTCTAGCCTGCTGTACGGTTTTCCCGATATGGTGTTGCCAGACCGGAACGGCTTTGCAGACGCGTTATTCTCACATTACCAGAACTTTAGCTTATTTGGGGTGTTATGCACCTCTTATTCCTTATACTGTCTTTTTTTACTCTCTGTTGTATTATCTTATACTGTCCTCTTTGAAGATCAATGTCTGTCTGAAGGAATGATGTCAAGATGATGGAGCCAGGCTCTTCCCAGTGGTGGCAAGCAATAGCRTATGAGGCAATGGGCAGAAACTAATGCTCAGGAAGTTCCACCTGAATAAGAGGAAGAACTTCTTTACTGTGCAGGTGACTGATAACTGGAACAGCTTGCCCAGAGAAGTTTTGGAGTCTCCCTCACTGGAGATATTCAGGAACCTTTTTGGATGCAATTCTGTGCAGTGTGCTCTAGGATGGCCATGCTTGAGCAGGGAGGTTGGGCTAGATAACCAGCCCACTGTGGTCCCTTCTAAACTCACCCATTCTGTGATTCTGTGATTTTGCATTTCATATAAGTGCCACAGTTTCATCACATTATGTGGCACACGTGCTTGTTGCCAGGGGAACTTTCTGTCATTTGGGTTTCCTGGTCCAGCAACGGGAATTTCATCACCTTTACTACGTATTTATTCTCCAACTGGTGTTTTGAAAATTGTGAGCAGCATTCATTAATTGGAGRCAAACTAAAACCATGCATTTCTATATGTAGTTTCCAGACAATTTGAGCCCATGAAAGTTTTACTTATAGTTTTGGTGCTTCACTCTCAGTTTTATTAAAATATTTCTCTGTGTCAGAGACATAAGCATAGGACAGTCAGCAATGAATTTATTGTAGGCCAGAATCAGTTTGATTGACTCACTTTAATAAGAGTTTCAGCACTTTCTGTCTAACTTATCTGATGCTTCTGCTTAGGGTCGAGGGTAATAATTCTGTTTGGAAGGGACCTTAGGAGATCTCTAGGCCGACCTCCTGCTCGCAACACATCATCTGTGAGGTCAAATGCAATTGTTCAGGGCTTTATCCCATCAGGTCTTGAAAACTTCAGGAGGAAAGCTGCACGGTGTCCCTAAGCCACCTCTTTGCCTTTCTGGGTTCATAGTGAAAATGTTTTTCCTTGTATCCAGTTTGAAGCTTCCTTGTATTTCAACTTCTGCCTGTTATCTCTTCATGCACTGCTATGAAGAGCCTGGCTCCAACTTTTAGCTCTGGCTGATTCTCAAAGTCTGACTTCCATCAGTTCAGTGTCTTGTTTGAAAATCCTTCAGTGTTTTGTCATACAGAACTCTGAGTTTGTAAATGCAACTTTGCTTTGCTTGTATTAAAGTTTACTTCAAGGTCACCCCTTGAACACTTGCTCTTACTGATGTTTGTTCTTTGGCTGGGATGGTCTTCTGAAAACTGATCCAGGTCTTAAGAAACTTCTAACATATTTAGAACATACATATATGTGGGAGAGTAAGGTAATTTGATGGTTCCCTGACTCTTAGTTAGGGTATTTTACTGAATCTTTTTCAAGTGTGTGAGATGACTCAGTTCATTGTCTTCTCTAAATTAATGAATTTTAAAAAAATTGGTAAAACCCTCTATAGTGTAGGTAAACCACATCAAAAGCTTTGTGAAAATAAATTGTTTCTAGTAGTTGTAATGGGATTTTTAGGCAAAATTGAAGTTGCAAGAGCTGTTTTTGAAACTGAAAATTTGCTACATGAGCACCTCCTTGTGATACAGTGAAGATAAGCATGAAAATCATTAAAACAAGGGATGTGGTGCTTATTTTTRTTAAGCACTTCACTGCTGAAAGAGCTTTGCTTATAATTGAATTAGTGATTAGAAATTTCTGTTAATTTGCAATAAACATTCTCCAAACTCAACCTCTTGGAATGTTTTTTTATTTCTATTTGTGCCCTTAGAGGTTGCACTGGCAGTAGTCAGTAGTCACTGTCAATAGTCCATACACTGTCAGAAGTCCTCCAGTGGGCTTTAAATCATGTTCCTAGACCCGTGGCTCAGCCAAAAGGATTTTTGTGGTGAATTGAAAAATACAAAGGTGTAGCCTTTTTCTCCTGGCTTTTTTTTTTTCAGACTTCAGTCTACTTATCCATTTGTCAATGTTTAGAAATGTCAGTGATCCAGCTACCTGGGTCCTTGTCCTTTCTATCCCTATTTTGTATTACCAAAAGCAAATTCTTCCTCTTCTGTGAATGTGATATGTTGCRCATTTCAAATTGAAACAGGAAAGATGGTGTGAGTAAATGATAAAGCATATTTCATTCAGACCAAAAGGTCTTCAAAATGAGGTAATTTCCTTATGTGAGAGTGTAAACAGCTCTTCTAGACAAAAGATGCTCCAAAAGAGATCAAAGTACAAAATGTGTTAAAATTCTCAGTATCATACTCATTGAGAACTGTTCATGTGCTGTTTGTCATGAGACATATGAGTGTCCTGTTCTTCCATGTGTAGATCAGTTGATTCATAAAAAATGGATGTTTACTTATAGTTCATGCTTTCCAACTGCTGTTTGATGTTGTGAGTTCTTGACTTTCAGCTTCTASAACAGAACACTGTTCATTCCTAAGCCTCTTCACGAAGTGCAATTGATTTATTGGTGGTTTGTCTGTATCCCAAGCAGTTAACATACAAAGATTTTGATTCTAATGAGAAATAGAAGTGACTTTTTTCCTCCAGATTTTCAGTTTATTCTGTTTCTCACCTCATTTTCTCTCTCTTTGTGTCTTTTTGTTTTTAATCAAAGGAAACACTGAGGAGGCTGGAAGGCTACTGGGCAGCAAGAATGTCCGTGTCAATTGCCTGGATGAGGTACTGCAAAACTGTATAAGCATTATGCTGAGTTTAATAAGGAAAATACTAGGTCTGAAGGCCTGCATGTTGTCAAATAACATTTTTCTAACAGCARTTGCTGTAGACCTGAAAATCAGAGTTACTCTGAACAATTTCTAGCYGGCAGTTAAATAATGAATCTTTGAAGAGCTCTCACTGTTTAAGAAAGTTTAAAGATTAATGTTACCTAAASTACTACATTGTATTTTCTCTTAAGTTCCAGCGTGAGCCTTGTCTGTAAGGTAAGCTAAACACTGCAGCAAAACATATGGGGGTGCTCCCTGTCTTCCTGTCACCTTCACCAAAGTGTGGTGCCTCTTTAGGGACTCTCTGTGGCAGACACAATACCTTTCCCCATCCCGTGCTTGGATCTAATCACCCAAAGCCCTGTCTTAGCCAAACAACTTACTTAGAGGGTGAGTAGCTTGATCACAAGTAGCTAGATCACAAGTGGAAACAGTTTTTTATGGATGTGAGTGGGGTAGACATGCAGAAGATGAAATCCTGAAGTTCTCCCTGAAGATGAGAATAAGTTTATGAAGAAAGGRTCCTTGTGGAATATTCACATTTCCCCTTTCTTTTTACAATGTCTTCCTAAAGCATGCAGCATTAATATGAAATGTAACATGGAAGCAGAACTAATTACCATCATGCATATTAAATCCATCTGTAATTTATCAGTTTAAATGTTAATTTGTATTTTTTTTTCACAGCTTTATAATTTCATAGGAATCACTGGGAAATTCTGGGGTTGTGTCTAGTTCAGCCTCTGGCTCAAAGCAGCTTCAGCTCCAGGGTCAGATGAGATTGCTCTGAGCTTTGACCTGTCTGGCCTTGTAAATCTCTTAAGGATGGAGACTGCACAATATTTCTGGGCAGCTGTTCTACTCTCTTATTGTGCTTTCAGTGAAGAAGTCTGAACCCCAACTTAGGCTCAATGTCTCTTGCCCTCCCTTCACCATAAGTGAAGAGTTTGTCTTCTCAACGATCTCCTTGTCAATTCTGGCAGGCTGCTGTTGGATCCCACCAAAGCCATTTCTTCTCCAGGCTGGTTAAGCCCAGTTCCTGCAGCCTCTTTGCACAAGTGCTCAGGTTCCTGCCATGAAGTAGTGGTACTCCATTGGTTTCTTTTTTTCAGTTTATCCATGTCTTYGTTGCACTTGAAGGCTCAGAATTGGACAGGGTATATTGTAGATGTGGTCTCATGAATGCTGAATGGAGGAGAACTGCCACTGCTTCTATTAAATATCTTCATGGAATATTGTTAGCTTTTTTTTCTGCCAACAGATCCACTATCTGTTTGTTCTTAAATAAAAGTTAAATACTAAACCTGAATTTCTACTGTATAAATTTCAACAAGTTTCTGAAAAACTAAGTCAAACTAAGCTTTACAGTGAACTTCAGGCACCCAAAATACGARTATGTTTGTGAGTGTGTTTTATTGTATGGACATTAAAAGGTTTTCCTTAAGTGTAATTCCTGAAGTCATGCTGAATGACTGCAGCCTTGCTGCAGTATTAGTGCACATCCAGGATTAATGTTGAGAGGATATGGCTTATTCAAAGAAACMGTATCTGAGTTATGCCTCAGGCTGTTGTAGAAGAAATAGTATTAACAGTATTTGCCTAAGGCTCACATCTGACTAAATACRCACAAGGCCCATAAAACTTGAAAAGTTTATGCAATGGACTTCTTGCAGACTCCTTTTTATCCCCAAGAACAGATTTGTTTAAGATTCTTCAATCCATCAGCCATGTCAGCTTCTGAATTTTCCTATTATGACCCATTCTTGCTCCAATGTGTTATTGAAATACCTGTACATAAGTAAGAATTGTGAAATCCCAGTTAAACAACAGCTTCATCTGTGACTCATTGTTGCCACAACTGGAGACTCTTCTCAATGCATCAGGTTTTACTGTTTTTCTCTGTTGCCTTAGTTAGAAATTCACATTTATATTACTGTTACTTATTTTGTTCATGTTAAGAAAAAAGAAAACCCTGAAAATGGAATGTTTAGGTATTGAAGTGGGAACTCAATTCTGTTAATTGTACATTCAGTACATGGTTACATTCAGTTTAATGTAATTYTCTCTTCTAGCTGTGGTACAGCAAGCATGCAATCACAATTTAATAATTTCCACAGGCTGAAGAATCTACAGCATACAGAAGCAGGCTTTTATTTAGTGCACTTCCTAATTAAAAAAAAACCAAACCATAACCTGTTCCTCTCATTTTTGGTTTGACCATATATTCTAACTGCTTCGATCTACTTTGTTCTAGATCAAAAAGTGCTGACAGTCAGCTGTCTTTTCTCTATGTACCTTTAGACAAGGACTAAGTGACATTTTAACATCTTCCAGATGCAGTGACCTTTTACGTATCTTGCCTAAAGTTATTTTTTTTTGCAGCAAGTGAGCTATAGTAGTAGCTCTTTTCCAAATCCTTTCCAGTTGTTTCAGCTTCTTACTTCAAAAATGTACACATGAACTGGATGCAGTGTTTTAGCATTGCTTCTGTTGCTGGTACATGTATTTTAAAATAAAAACTGACTCCTCTAAGTCTATTTGCTTTTCCTATCCTTGTGCCGAGACTCCCTCACACCCTTCACCTCCTGCTGTCTGCAGAGCTCTGCTGGAAGTGTCACCTGAAGACAGAGTAAGATCCGTTCACTCAAATGAGTTCCACAGATGCCCATCTTTCAGAAGGTTGGAAATAGCCAGCAGACCTGACCAAATAAATTGTTTTTGTTGTTTGGGGATTTAGATGGATGAAGAAAGGAAAGGTATTTAGGCTTAATCACTGTATTTATGAAAACCAGGGAATGCAATAGCTTTTCTACAAAAATGGTCTTTAACAGTTTGGTAACTTTAAAACTTTCAGGACATTTAAGTTCAGATGTCCTAAAACATAAGGACAAATAGATGGGTTGTGGAATTGGATGCAAAATACACAAATATATTTCACTTAAATGCACACTGCTTAGTCATCTTTAGTCCTATTTTAAATAGAGTGGTTGCTAATTTGGAAACTTAGTATGGGAGAAAGTGTTCAGGACTTTCCTTTCCCCTGAGAATGCAGAGCTTGTAAATATTGTGACTTCTTGTTGGCAGTTTGCTGATTTGAACTCCATCTGCAGTGTGTGGCTAAAGTATTTCAGATTATTATAGAAAGGCAGGCTAAAGGAAGCACGTGTGCTTTCCAGCTGTGGGTCGTGGTGATAGTTAAGGTTACAAAGGAGCTCTGCAGTGCTACATCCCCTATTTTGTGCACATCAAGCTGACAGACTTGACCWGAAAAGTACATATTTTTTCTGTATTTAAAATAACTGTAAGGTTGTTCATAATCTTCTTACATACAAAACTATCATCTGGCATTAGGGGCATTACTTTTCTCCTCTAGTTTGGTAATTGAGCTGTTCAGTTCTGTAATACATCATTTAGAAACACTCCTTCTCTGTGCTACAGAACTGAATACTGCAGCAGTCTGCTTATTTATGGCTGAGATGTGTGTAGCTTCACTCATACTAAGTATGTTSAATTCTTCAGTTAATGKATCTGGCAATTCCAGTGTGAACATMYTATGCTAGCAGAAAATGCCAAGACCTTTGGCCTTTATTGAGGAGAAAGAGTTTTGTCTTTTGATGTTTTTTACATAGTACTTCAAAATACACAAACCAAAGAAAATTCAATTGCTAGTAAGAATTAYCTGGTTTCAATTCAGGTTGCTGATTGATGTAGGTTTTAACTTTTCATCACTGCAGATGAACTGAACGATCATCAGAGGAATCTAATGTGTTACACATGTGAAACCAACAGCTGAGCAGAATGACTATAAAGGGGAAAACTATAGCTGTGATCGACACTTACTGATTGAACAGTATTTCATAATCTAATTAGTCCATACTTAGCTACAGCTAAAATTATTTATGCATGTAACTGTTGACCTCCTTCCAGATTCTGCCAGTAGGAAGTTTAAGAGGTGTAAGARCAATCTTATTCAAAGGCTTTAAGGGTGAAATTTCTAAAGGCTTTCATCTGGTGAAAAGTTAAGTTGTACTTCTAGACTAGCAGTAGTATTCAGTACCAGAAAGTTGATCTTAAAGACATAAATCAACAAGTATTTCTGCTGTCCTTGTGGCACCTGTTCTTTTTGCATCATTTTTAGTAATGTCCCGTATCCTATCTCAAATGAAAGCCAAACCTAGAGTTATGTGTTTTGTTTATAATGTTCTGAATTGAATAGAACTGGTGTAGTTGCCTGAATCTAAAGGATAAAATAAGACACTCTTTCTGTGTTAATGTGGGGCTGGGTTCCTCACTGGAAAATTAGCTGGGAAAAGGAGAGGCAGATGCTTTAGTATGGCTGGTGTACAAGTGTCTACAGCAGTTTTTCAGCTAGGGTTTTGACAGCCCTTTCCCTTTTTTTTTTTTTGTTTTTCCCTCTATTAAATAGCTGGTACTTGCGTGTGCAGTGTCTTATTGTACCCCAGTACCTGCTGAGAGACTGCTCCAGGGTGATCCAGCCTGTATGCCACATCTTGACAAGGTTCCATAGTTGAGAAGAAGGGTGAAGTGAGYGTAGAAGTGTTGGGAGCACTTGGATTGCACTTTTTGCCTGAGTAACACATGCAAAATACTTCTGTTATCATGTTATCCACACAGCATGTTATCATGATACTGTTATCATGTTACCCACACAGCAATGGCTTTTTAAAATACACTTCATGTCTTTGTTCTTRCACAGCATTAGTGTTTAAATGCTCACAAAAAAGAGAGGTTTTGTGTGAATACTTGACACTTGTCACTGGAGTAGGAGATGGTTYATATACTTTTTTTAGTTTGTTTGTCCCCCTTCTTGTTCCCTAGCTAGCCTATGTTTCCCTATTCCTCTGGTTGATGGAGGTTGAGAAACAGTTTTGTTGGAAATGTCCTCTGTAGTTCCTAGAAGGCAGAAGGTTGCTTTTCCAGTTTATTATCTTAATAAATTTGTTTTTATTCATCCTGTGCAAGCACACCTCAGTTGGGTGCTGAAGAGAGATAGACTGACCTGCTTTCTTCTTCCTCTGTGTCTGGTGGTGGAGTCCAACCTCTCCCTGGTTTTCACCTCATCTGCCTGCCCCTCCATCCTCCCTACATACACATCCTTTTCTTCTCTTGTTAGCTGGGTCAGCCCACTGACCCCATAGGTTGTTGTTTGCGGTTTTTCCATCAATTAACTTCCCCACCCTGTCCGCATTAGGTCAACGTAGTTCTTGGAATCCCATCCCTCAGTCTCCTTTTGGGTTATTTTCAACATGAGGAGCTGGGAAGGACAGTCTGTAATAGCCAGGCTGGCTGTGCCAAGGGCCTCGTTGTGCCAGGGAGTCCGTGTTGGTTGGTGAGCTGGAGAACCCAGTCAACCAGCCCAGTTACCTGGCACTTGAGGTAGTTTCTAGAGGCACTTCAAACTCTATTCCTGTTGTAAAGTGAGACATACAGGGAATGCTTACAGCCCTGCAGATGAGAAAGAGGTGTTACCATGTAACATCCCTACGAAACAAGCTGGAAACTGGGAAGGATTCATTTTTGTCCTAGGGAATAAGGTTAAAAGGCTGGATTTTTTTTGCCAGAAGAATGTTACATGCTGACTGCTAGAAAATCCTGCATTTGGTGTTTCATCGTTGAGCAATAAATAATTTGTTTCTTCTGTGTGCTTAGTAAACTGTCTGCTAGTTTTGTCTTTTTTTATGTTGTRTTGATGATCCAAATGTCATCTATGAGAAAACAGACTGTTGCTTGACCTGTCTTTGTCATTCAGGCTGAGAAAAGTATTCGCAGTCAAGTCAGTTTCAGTGTAGGGACATAATACAGGATACCAAGTTTTTCCAGATAAGCTTGTGTCTAGCCTGACCTTATTTATTTTGCTTTGAATGTGATAAACAGATAGTATGTGACTTTAAATCCAATTTTATAGCAACTGGCCACATATTTTCTGTCTGATATGTTTTTTTTGATCCACAYCACAGACTGACACTTGCAGGTTTAATCAAAGGATTATTAAAACTGTTTTCTGGGAGGAAAGGGAAAACAAACCCAATTCTTTGCTTTGTCATATAATCTTCAGATCTTAATTGCAGCAACTGGCTTTCAAGATATAACCAAACTTAAAAATCATAGTTTTCTAAAAATTCTTTCTCCCATCAAAAACCATGCTGTGTTCATATTCTTTTACTGCTGTACCTTCTGTGCTACTAAAGGAGGCAAAGCCTTGCTGTGATTCCAGACTGGRATTGGCCCATAAAATTGCTGTTGACATAATGTAATGAAATGTAATGTAGTAAAATATATAGTAGGACAGAAAATCTTTATTTAACATTTGTGGCACCTGAAAAGAAACGTAGCAAAACCAGTTTGTTTGTATTCATGAAGTGCTCTCTTCAGGAATTTTGTTTCTTTAATGGCAGTTTATATTGCAGTTTTCTAAAATATATGCAGTTTACTAAAATATAATGCATTAAGTAAGCACTTTTTTTATTTAGGACAGAGAATAATGAAAGTATAATACCTTAAAATTATTATTTCTTCAATTTCTCTCACCTTCAGAAATCTTTTGAAAATTATGCTGGTAAATTAAACTCATTTGGGTTTTACTGTGTCATAAATTGAAACAGGAAATATATTAAGGCTCAAACTGACAATTACATTATTTCAGAGTATCACTTTACCATGCRTTTACAGAGCTGCACTAATGGTGTATGTGAGTGTATTCAAGCACGTATTCAGCACACAGCCTTGACTRGCAAAGGAAGGAACAGAATGCCATTTTGATTTCCTTCAGGGACAGACTAAAGCATACTCCCTGGTATGCAGTGTTGGAGGGTGCTCTTGGGCAATTGAAGTGTCTTGGCTGGTAATGTGAATCCTGACCTGATGTTAAGTGAAAATAAACAGCATATTGGATAAAGCACACTAAATTCTAAAAATGGAATGTCATGCAACACAGCAATATGCTTCTCCCTGCCCTTGGAGAGGGAGAGAGCCTACACTAACAGTTCCTAACAGTTCACCCTAGTTCTGAAAATTTGCTCTGGGGTTTGCCCAGCTTTACATTTATAGCTACACCTCAGTCCTCCCATGCTGAAGYGAATCATTTTTGTACTGGGGCAGTTGATCAAAGCAGCACGGTTTTAGGCTGTGGTTGTTAAAATCTGACAAGAGCTGTGTGTCTTTACAAGAGCTTTCAGAGCTCTGGCTGACCATGGACACAATGCTAGAAGGGTGGAGAAGTGGGAGAGAGGCGGGTGGCAAAATTACCAGTAATCATGACTGAAAATGAGCAAGATGGGTTTCAGAGACTGCAAATCTTTGTAATGTTTAAAACAAGAAGGGGCTACTTCTAATTTTCTTGCTGCTTATCATATAAGCAACAGCAGGGGAGAAAAGAATAATGTAGGAAGCTAACAAGTTTTCTAAATGAAGCTTTTCCAACTAGTGGAAATATTAGTTGTCTTTAACRTTAATGTCTTATGCAAAAGGACAATGATAAATTGGCTGTGACTTGTTTTCATTTACTCAGCACTGCTCTTTTCAAATCTGTAGCACAGCATAATCAGAAAGGTGACATGAAAATGGAAAATCTGCTGCATATKAGTCACCTTGTTTTTTCATTAAGATTTTTGAGGGTTTTTGTGAACAAAATATTACATGAGGCTTTGATAGTTATATTGAATATGTATGTACAAGTRAAAATTACCAATAGAATGAAGATCAAGAGATGTAACATTCTTTCTTGTATGTTATTYGCTTCTCCTTGCTTTTGCCAGCATGGCATGACCCCTCTGATGCATGCRGCTTACAAAGGGAAGGTGGACATGTGCAGGTTGCTCTTGAGACATGGAGCTGATGTAAACTGCAACGAACATGAGCATGGATACACTGCCTTGATGTTTGCTGGACTTTCAGGTAATGTTTTACTAAACTCAGGTCACTGATTTTTTATGACATGAGTGGGTACAATTTGCCATAAATTATAATCTCCAAGGAAGTATTGACATGATTTTATTATTTGGGTTTGCTGTTATTTATGGGAAGCATGCAACTATGTCACAACCAGTGGCATCCTGTGGACAGTGCAACAGGGGAGCTACTGTTCAGGCTCATATAAAAATTGATTTTGTTCAGCATTTTGAGGCATCTAGTCTACTTGCCCTGTACCTACTTTGTCCTGTTTGATAGAGATCKCAACAGTCACTTTCATGGAACAGTTTTCTTGAGCAGTGGGATACATTCTGTTTACTTAGACTGTGTTACACTGAAAATGATGCTGCACCAGGCTGCCTTTTTAATACTGCAAACCAGTAGCTTTTAGGAACATTTGAAAAGTCTCAGTCCCATATTTTTCAAATTTTGTCTTTCTCCTATTTTATTTTCCCAATTATCTTGTGGGCTTTGTAAAATGCATTTAGAGAGTTTAAAAAACACATTTTCCCACATTAATTTTCGCTCTCCTCTTACATAATTTTTCATTTCCGCGGAGGTGCTTTTAGCTGTATATATCTTCTCCTGTCCCAACTGGTGGTTTGCAGCTTTTCTCTTGCTATTCTTTCTCCCTGATGGCAGAAACAGTAGTTTCCTTGAGTGAGAAAAAGATAYGACATTTAAACATTTATCCTTCTGGGGAAAATATTAGATTTGGGAATATTAGGTTATTTGAAGTATCTTCTTTACTAGGCCACTTAAGTCTTCCCAAAAAAGGAGATTCTAGGGAAGTCAGGTTTTGTAGCAGATAGAATTTAAATTGCCTTCTTTCACCATAAGTATAAAAAAAGAAAGGCTTATGAGTGTGAACATTAACTAGATCATCATATTGTTTTTCTGCTAAAACTTTGGTAGAAAGGTTTGGGAAATTTCAGTGTTCTGTGGTATTCTGCAATATACAAGCTACAGCAGATAGATGAGAACAGTCTCTTAGAGGTTAAGTGACTATAGCTTTATGGAAAATGCTGGATTTTTACCATTTTCTCACAGCTGAGCTTTTGACCTGTCATCCTGGGTGTGAATGTTGACTTTAGGGTCTGTTATCTGTGAGCACAAAACGTTGATGAGTACTACTGATGCAGTGACTGTTTTTAAACATTCTTTTTCATCCACCATCCCTTTTTTGTATTGACTTTTCTGTACTTAGCATTTGCACAAAAAGTAATAAAGTAAGACTACCTTTGAAAGCAGAACCAGCAGGAATAGTGACAAGTGTCCTTATTAGTCTCTGAAGGGCACCAATTAAGTCATCTAATCTTCCCATCAAATTTCAGCTTCATTTTACTTGGTGTTTAGCCCAGTCTGAACACCCAGTTCCCACTGTGGAGAAAGGAACAATCTGTTCTGTTCACTGTGTTCCTGCTACAGCATAGTTCTGAATGTGTTTTTCTTCTTAGAATAGCAAATGTAGTTGAACTGTCAAACTAGATTAGTAGAATTTCCTTCTATACTGCTATCCAGATGGACCAAGCTCTACTGTAGCTACATGAGTGTGACTCCCATAAGCTCCAAGAGAAGGTGAATATGCATTACAGAAAGCAGAGTTACACTCTCTGGAGTTCTAAATAAGCACTGTGCCTTTGTCTTAATCCATTTTTAAAATTTAATAACATTTAAGAACATCTATTTTCCTTAGTGTTATTCCTGGTCTTTAAGAAATTCAGTACATGTTTTTTTGAAATGTAGAGAATTAAAAGTTCTGATTTGTCCTCACTCATTCCCATATCTTTCCTGCAAATTCAGGAAATAAAGAAATCACCTGGATGATGTTAGAGGCTGGAGCAGAAACTGATGTTGTCAATTCTGTGGGAAGGACAGCAGCTCAGATGGCTGCTTTTGTAGGTAAGGTGAAAATTATTATAATTTCCTAAACTCCTGAAGAAATAGAATGTTAGATTGTGATGCTTTTTGTTGGAGAAACATTATTTAATGACTTGTTCTGAACTGACACATTATTGAGCTTTGTTTTCCACATCTTACCATGGAAGAGTGAGTTTGTGTTCTATTCCCATGTTTGGTTTCATAAAAATACAGATGATCTTACCTGTGAGAACAGGTGCTGCTGTTCAAGTGTGTTCGTTTTTGCAATGTCACCACTTTGAAAACAGGAGCAGGAAGCTGGTTACATTGGAGGTGTCTGAAGTGTAACACCAAGTGCTAATTGGAGCTTTCTTTATGGGAAAGAAGRACCTTAGTGGCAGGAGTCAGGAACTCAGCTGAGCTTTGCAGCCATGTTCTGGCAGTGAGCCACCACCTGCCCTCTCTCCTGCATCTGGGAGAGGGCTTGGAACCTGTTCTGAATTATCAGTGCTTACTGACCTGAATTTCACTAGAATAAGATGAAAGGTTTGTGATTCCTGCATGCAGAATTATCCCTGGCAAGACATGGAATGGCCTTTTTTGCTATTATGTTTCTTTTGGAAAGCCCTTTTGTTTCTTTATAAGAAGAATACATTTTTCACCCACCTTGACAGTACACTGGTTCCTGGCCTAATGTTCCACTTTTTCTCTATTTCCAGCAAGGAGAATTGATAAAATATTATGAGGAAAMGTGTAGTAGCTTTCAATGGCACAGCTATTGCTTTCCAAAAACAAGGACCTGTATTTTCTTTCAAACACAACCTTCTCGTGGTATGAGAACTCCCTTTCAAGTCCTTTAGGTGTTCTGGATTCAAAAGCCTACCTTGCTATTTAGATTCACTTCCTTGAATAGTGATTTAGTCCTGAATTTCAATTTCTATTTTGTCTCATTCTGCTCGTTTAAAGAGGGAAGWGTTGACATTGCTCTCCTGAGGTTCAAGTAGCAAAACCTTAACTATTCACTTAATGAATCAGAGAAGTCTACTGTTAATTATTCTTTGGATTTGGAGTCTTTTCCAATGTGATGCTGTATGGAGTTACTGATGATTGGGAATATTATCTCCAACATAATTTTTGAGAATTCTTGTTTAAAATCTCATCATGTCACCAAGGTAGCATAAGATTTTCAGGCATACGAGATACACTACTCTGTAAAAGTCTGAACCCTGGAATCTATTCCTGTGTTCTTTTTTTATTCTTTGTCCAATCAACATTAATTCATCTGTCTGTGTGTGGGAAGTGAGGATACTTCTTCCCCTGTCATTTGTCTTACATTGTGCTCTATTAGCTCAGAACTGTCTCTTCTAAAACAGTGGAGGATTTTAAATGCTGGAATTTAGTTGGCTGTGTCATCTACTGATTATAGGATTAGTGTCAAGACAAATCAGTCAATTTAAAGAATGTGGTCCTGAACTAGAGAAGATAAGTTTTACTTTCCCTTTGGCCAAGTAATCCATAATATTGTCAGGTGCAGAAAACAGGAAGAGGGTGTAACTTTTCTCATCTTATTGCTTTCATGACAGTCCTTTTATTTTTGGTAAACTTTGAGCGTGTTCTGTTCTTATAACTTCTCTCACCTTAGGTTAAAACACTAATATCTGCTTCAGGTCTAAAAATTTAAGAGTCTCAATGGAAATGTAAATTTTAGAAGTATAAAGTGGAGAAATCTTATCTTGAAAAACTATAACACTGGTATGAGACTAGTAGTATAGTATAACTTGGAGGAGAAACAGCTATTCCCTTAGTTTAGGCTTCCCAGGAAAGAGGAGGCAGGAACGGGAAAGAGTTTTCAAAATGAATTTTCATTAGGGCATCCCCTGTTGAGAGTCAATAAGCTTTTACTGAAGATTAAAACTACACACAAGAGAATGACAAGAGTTGCCTGTTTGCAATGCAAAGTATATCATGCAAAGCTCCTTTGCATGTGGGTAATTCTCACTTGTATTGCTTATATTAGATTTGGGTTTAGGTAATCTTTTTCATTATTATTCTGCTGTTGATTTTTTTTTGTTATGTGCCTTTTAGGTCAACATGACTGTGTGACTGTCATCAACAACTTCTTTCCACGTGAAAGGCTGGACTACTACACTAAACCACAAGGCTTAGACAAAGAACCAAAACTGCCAGTAAAATTAGCTGGGCCTCTGCATAAAATTATTACTACTACCAACATGCATCCTGTTAAGGTGGAGTAATATGTAAACTGTCTGTGTTTGTTGGCAGGGGAGCTGTTGCTTTGTGTCATGAARCATTCAGCTCTTCTGAAGAAGAGTCCAATTGAGATCAAAAGCATTATTCACTAATTCAGATACTTCTGAAAGCGAGGAAGGTTATTTTAAGGCTCAACATTTAGATGTGATTTTTTAATCAATTAATTTTAAGGTATTTCATTCTTTAAATACAACAGAATTTTGAACTAACATCTCCACCTAAGTGGAGAGATTCTTATTTTTTATATCAGTAACCATAAATAGCTGTATTTTTTAGCTTTATTTCCCAGCCCCTCTTGAAATGGAAGCACAGAACAATTTTCTTTCTTAACAAAGTCCCGTTGTTCTCAATGCTTTCCTCAGCATGTATCTTCCTACCTTCATGACTGATTTGCCACAGTAACATCTACCACTGCTGCASTTTCTGGGAGTATGTGCAAGAGAGCAATGATTTTTAATTCCCAGGATATTGCTGACAATAATGTCTTTTATGGTTTGCTCCTCCAGTGTAGTTCAGAGAAATAAATACACCGCTAAATTCAAATACAGATTCTTTAGGCTTGCCAGTTCAAAGTCCAGAACTTGTCAACAAGTTTCCAATCAAGTTTCTGCAGTATTCACAGTCAGTAGTGCACTAGTGGCATAGAGTGAGTAGAGCATACAGTTTCTTCTTAAAACATTTTGTTCAGTGCTTTACTAGGCTACAGGAAGTACTCCAGGATTCTGTGAGGTTGATATGTTCCATGAAACCACTTAAATTATACAAATCCAGTTATTTTAAAGGAAAAGAGATCTTAGGACATTGTATAGTACTTTCATGGTAGTTTCTATACCTTTCTTTAGAAATGGTTTTTGTTTCTCAGGTTCATATTCTAAAAAAAAACAAACAAACAAACAAACCCCAACATTCTACTTTTAATACCAGTCTTAATTTTAAATTATTTCTTGTATGGGAACTGTGAATTACAGTCTACTGAATAATAATGCTAAATAATGACTGGAAAAAGAAAGGGAGGACTGCATAYGAAGGAAGTGGAAGAATATTAGAAACTCCACTGAAATTTAGCTACAATGAGCTATATAAGTTTTAATGCTAATGCCCAAGTCTTAACTGGATTACATTTGCTTCTATCTTTCTCCTAGATCGTGTTGCTGGTGAAAGAGAACCCTCTKTTGGCCGAAGTAGAAGCACTGCAGAAATGTTACAGGGTTCTGGATCTCATTTGTGAGAAATGTATGAAGCAGAAAGACATGAATGAAGTTCTTGCTATGAAAATGCACTACATCAGTTGCATCTTCCAGAAATGTATTACATTTTTAAAAGAGCGAGAGGATAAACTAGATGGGTTTGTCAAAAGGTGAGTATTTCTACAGAGAGATCTGAAAGTGCATGTATGTACCAGTGTTACAGATACCAGSAAAAAAACAGCTGCAGGAATAGATTGAATTGGCTTGGATAAAGACTATGACAAATAARTTTTAAAATAATCCCAACTGCATTTACGTCAGGGTGACACTGACTTTTTCTATGTCTGAAGTCACACTCTCCTTTCCTGGGTACACAGGAAACATTCCTAGAATTTCAGCTCTCTGCTGGAACTGGTCAGAATTTGTCATTCACATATACACTATGAAGCAGCAGACAGCAATGTGTGATGGAAAAAATGGGCARTGATAGGCTTGAAAAAATAATTTCTCAGTGTCCAGTATGGTTCATCTGGGGACATTTCTTGTGCCCATTTGTTCTCCAGCAGTCACACAGGGTGAGGTTTTTTTTCAAAAACACTTAAGTGAGWGAGAACTGCAAATTCTACAGACTCTGGATAAGACTTAGACTCTTAAATCACTCAGACAGATCTTCAGAATCTACTCAGTTACAAACCCAGCTGCCTGATCTTAAATATCAAAGAGTCCTGGCTTTTAGAAGATCACTTTCCCTGTAGACCTCCATGGATTTTTAATGTAATCCTCTGTGATACAAAAATCATGAAGTAGCTTTCACATACAGAAATCAAATAGTTCATTAATGACCCATATAAAAAATAGTAGCCAAAGAGGTGTTAAGACTATAAAATATTATTAAACATCATAAAGTGGARTTTGTATTTTAAGGTATTGTTCATTTGTCAGTTTTTACAATGACAATGTTTAAACGGCACAAAGCATTTTGATATTTTAGTCASATGTAGATAGTAGATAGTCTGCCTGTAGGTGATTATTTTTCTCTGAGTGGTTGAATTAGTAAGTCCTGGTTTCAGAGCACACATTTATTTACTGTGTATTTCATAATGATTGTGCATTAGAGTAAAAATGCTTTCATTTGCATTTTAAATACCTTAACATACCAAATTGCCAACTTATTATGAATTCTTCCCTGTAATCCAAAAGAGGACAAAGTACAACGTGCTGTTTTTGTTTGTTCTTGAATATTTACTATGTGATTTCTTATGGGTTTTAAAAAATTTAGTCTCTTGAAAGGRAGAGAGAAAGATGGTTTCCCTGTGTATCAAGAGAAGCTAATTCGAGAAAGTATCCGAAAGTTTCCTTACTGTGAAGCTACGTTGCTCCAGCAGCTTGTGAGAAGTATTGCTCCTGTTGAAATAGTAAGTTTTTCCTGTCAAGAAAATCCTTTCTGAGTAACTTGCATAATAAATTCTGTTTGAGCCATCTTTCTGTTTTCAGCTTCTGCAACATACTATATTAAGCAAAGGCTTTTCATGTCCCTGAACTCTGGCTAACTGGAGTTGCAGGAAAATGCTCTAAAATACTTCAACTAGTATATTTCCAATGTGCCCATAATGAATGCTTAAACACCTTAGCTTTTAAGGAAAACAGAAGCAATTATTTTCTTGTCTCTAAGCTTTCCTTTTCCACTCTGGGATGTCCAGTTTCTATGCCAATTCACTTYTTGAAATGGTAGATTCAGACAGAAATGAAGCTTATTTTGCACTCTTTTTTCACAATGTCTAAATTCAGTTTAAGATCAAATAACTTCGTAGATGTAATGCATTCATTTGTTCTATTGTACACAAAAAGTTGGTAATATATGATGGTAGAAAAAGGAAAAACATTCTGTGAGGTTCCTTTTGTCACAGAGAGGCAAGATGATGCAATGTGCAGCAAAATCTGTATCTAAATTATGAAATCAAAATTACAAGTTAAAAATCGTAGCCTCAGTTTCCCTCTTATGCCTTTGCTAACACACTTTTCATTTTAGGACTATTTATTGTTTCATAATAAWTTTTTGCTGCTCTTTTTAAAGCATGTTCTCTCTGTTCTCTGAGAGCAAGATGTATGCACAAACACTAGGGAAGGGGAGCAATCTTGTGATGTGTTTGGATTATTCTGAGTGAATTAAAAATAGCCTCCATCTTAAGTGGCTCCAGGTCTGCTAAAATGTCCTGAGGCTTAGGGCAATCTCTACTGTTTGTCTAAGCCAGGAAGATAAACACAGTGTGAAAACATAAGCCATTACGATGCATTACAACTTGCTTTAGAGTAAACATTTTCCTTCCTGTTGATTTTTTCTTGGGAGAGCTTGCAGTTTTTTCTGCCTTTAAAGAAATGCTGATTTATTCCATTGGATTTCTGTCCATTATGTAGAGCTGGAAAGGAGAAGATGCTGTAATTTTTTATTTATCTGGGAGCCTTTGACCTTTGTCATTGCACAATTACTTGGATTCAGTCTGGGCATCCCAGTGTTGTCATAGTAGTTAGGATTCTATATATTCCATGACAGTCTAACAGTTTAAGGAATTACTTAGAGCTGCAGCAACTTGCCATTTTTTACTTCTTATGTTTACATCACTGCCCAAAACAATAGTTTTAATGTGTGGTTACCCAAATCTTTCTTCTTGCATTGCATGGGAAGGATGCTGCAAATAACATCTAAATAGTAATAGGCAAATAATTGAAGATTCCAAGTTCTGACCATCTGTAGCATCTGTGTGCCCTGAGCACAACAGGTATCAGTGACAAATGAAACACCTTTGTGTGTGCCAGCACRGAGACTGAGTTGCAAAAATCTGCATAGAATCTGATAGCAGGTGACAGATATAAAGAACATGGAGTTTGTTAATAACTTACAGAGTAAATTCTACAGAAACTAAGGGCTTAAGCTAACTTCATATACAAAAATTTATCTAAATATATAAACGTTAAGTTGTGCATGTTAGTTGAAGTTCTGCGATTTGGTTTTATGTTCTTGCTGCTGCAGCAGCTTCAGTGAGACCAACACTTGCGTTAATCATTTCTGGTCTTCCCTTGTGTGTCCCTCTCTGTAGCAGTGCTGGGTTTTAATCTCATTACCACCTCTTGTCTTGTCTTTCAGGGCTCTGACCCCACAGCTTTTTCTGTACTTACACAAGCAATTACTGGCCAAGTGGGTTTTGTGGATGCTGAATTCTGTACAACTTGTGGGGGGAAGGGAGCAGACAAAAGATGTTCAGTATGTAAAATGGTAAGAATCAAAAAAATCGTGCCACTGAGGTGCTGGGGATTTTTAATGCTTCCTTATTTACTGTGTAGACTTATGAGGAATGGCACACATGCCTGCACTGAAAATGTTCAATCCATCTTCTGGGAAAGATGCCTAAAATTCAAAAGGAGGAGGACTTGGATTTCCAAATGCGTATGCTTAAGAGTGAAAAAGAGTAAAATCTCTGTTTAGAGATAATAAAGCAAACCGCTTTTTATAGATTCTTATATAGGTTAGAATCACTTCATATGACCTTACAAATTGCATAAAAATGCCATCAAATACTATATGTAGAGACATTTAACTTGGTGCACTAAAAAATGCAAGAAAATGTTGTATTTTTTAGTACATGAAAATGAATTGATAACTCTGGTAACTTTTAGGTAATGTACTGTGATCAGAACTGTCAGAAAATACACTGGTTTACTCACAAAAAAGTCTGCAAGACCCTGAAGGAAATCCATGAGAAGCAAGAACTAGAAGCTGCCAAAGAGAAAAGGAAACAAGAGAAGAAGCAAAAGAAAGGTTAGTGTCTGTTGTTCCCTTACTGAAACTAATGCTGTGTTAACTGCATCACAAACAGAATTTAACAGGTCTTAATACTCTAACAGCTTAGATTGGGAGAAAAATCTTGGATGAAACATAACAGCAAAACTGAGTTTGTTGGGATTCTGGCCTTTCAGTTTAAAAATGCTGTATACTTTCCAAACTGGTTTTTAATGCTACAGTTACACAGGTTTCTACAATGAAAGTATTCCGGTTTACACTGCAGTGTTTCAAGATCCAGATCTTTAATCAAGCTCATGCAGAAGTTTCATACTGCTCTACTTTTTGTTGGAGGTGTTAGGACAAGTTGGATAATAATCAGCCTGCTCCTTCCAGTTGCAAAGGTTTATGTAGATGTTAATTCTCCCATAATACTTTCTCTTCATTATACACTATCAAGTTAATTTTGTTATACGCTTCAAATGGGAGGGAAGCAAGTAGGAGTCTTTAAACTGCTCATGGTTGTTTGATCCCTTCAAGAAAGAAGTAATTAAAACATAAGAACAGAAAAAACACTATCACCCTTTCCCTTAACTTACTCTAATGCAATGTTTCTTGAGGTGAAATAATAGGAAAGTTGGGGATGAAATCACTTTCTCTTTTACAACTTATTGTACTATTTAAGGATAGTAGAAATAGACTGCACAAGTCATGGTTGCTTTACAATAGTAATGTGGTTCACTTCAACTGTTCTTGAAATATCAGGATATAAATCAGTAATAAATTAGTAATAATTGAAATTTTCAACAGTTTCCTGAAATGATCTTGTTACAAGAGCTGCTGCTGTTGTGTAGGATCAGGATGGCTGTGGAAGCTGGAGGCAAAGATATTAGAAATCCCTGGATATATTGCATACAAGTACAATAAAACAAAATGAGCTGTGAGCAGTAATGCCTCACACTGGTGACAAACACACACCCTTGCAGGTTCATATTTACTGAAGGAGTCAGTGACCACATGCTGGTACAGCCAGGATCTTGGTGGCTGGCTCTTCTCCCTCCCTGCCTAAAAAGGGAAGCTAACATTTTTTGTTATGTTTCTACTGCACTATCTACATGTTAATCTTTATTAACTTCATCAGGTACGTGGCCAGCACACTATAGACCTTATCAGATTATGCATTGTTAGCAAGACACTGAATTCATCTGAGCTTCAGGTCACCTTGTGAATGGTGTTCTGTCAGAGCATTTCATAATCAACAGGTTTATTTCAGGAAGTTAGTAATACCCCCTACAAATCCTGTACATCTGGAAATTAAAAATTTAAAAAATAAATGTGACAGCTGCACCTACAAGCAAACCCAAGAGTTTAAGCATTTCCAGTGTACAAGGGTGTCAAGGAAGTCCATGCTTCAGCCTGTGCTGAAGGCTTTTAGCCCATAGCCAGGTAAAATCTTGGCAGGGGTTTGGCGGGGCTGTGGCTAGCTGAGACAATTTTTGGCTGGCTATCAGTCATGACAGAGAACAAGAAACTAAGATTAAACTTCTTCTGCTCCCAATTAGGCTTTCCTCTCCTTTTCAGAATTGCTAGCATGAAAGCCCTACTTAGTAAAATCAGGACAATGTTATTTAACAACTTTTTTTTTTCTCAGAAAACATTGCTTGATGAGTAGAGGTGCAATAGCTAATTCTGTTCCATGCAATCAAGTTGTAAATTTTAGGATGACTCACTTCAACCAAAATTCACTGTTTGTAAGCACATCATTTCTTCAGTCTGTTGTATGCAGGAATGCTTTCTATATAGTCATGTCCAAGCCTTTTTGATTTAAAACAAACCCCACCTCTACTCTGTGTTTAACTGGCCTGCCACCATTCTTTGAAAAGCTGATGATAAGGATGGTGTCAATAAAGCATGTTTGAATTGAAAGTTAAAATAACTGTAGTGTCCTACTCTACTCCTCTCTATATTAAAAATAAGTATGGCAAAATGGAAGATAAATTAATGAGAGCTTTGTGTAGGGTTAGTTCCAGAGTAACCTTATATTAACTTACTCAAAGCTTTAGTGTCTGGGGGTTTTTTGATAAAATCTAATCGAAATTAATCACTTCTGTAATTGATGCAAAGTACCCTAGTGTTCATTATTGTTCAGTAATAAAAATATTTGTTTGCAAATGAATTAATTGTGTATTAATTTTGTGATTTCTCTTTTGTTCAGATGAAATGCAACTAGTAGAGAGTAGTTCTACAAGTGAACAACAGTCAGATCCTGGTCCAGATCCTACAAAAGAAGTGGATCCAAATCATCCTACTGAGGGAACAGAAGAACCTGAATTAACCAAAGAGATGGAGGCATTAGCCCTGCACCCTGGAAGTCCACTGGAAAGTGATAGTGGCTTGGAAGACATTGATCTTCAAAAAATTCAAGATTCTGAGGAGTAAGAAGAGGGTAGGAAGGGACAGAGTTCTCAAGGGTACTAAAGAATTTTTTAGGCTGACCATGTGTGAGTTCCTAAAGCATGGCTTGTGCAAGACTTCCTTTAAAAGACAGAATTTCTCTGTTCATCATGTGGTTGAATACTGACAACTTTGTCTATAAATACTCCAGGTCTTGTTGTAAATTGTCAAGATAGGTATTTATTATCTGATAAAAGTTAGAGTGGCATAGATCCATCTGTATGTATACCAACAATAAGCCTAGTGAAACTCTATGAGTATCTGGTTAATGAACCACATAGTGAAAAATGAAAAGCATTTGATTTGGATTATTCATGTTTTCAGAAACGAAAACTTATTTTAATTGTAATTTAAGTATTTTTTTCTGCAAGTACATAGATCTGTAGTTAAAAGCACTGGAAGGACAAGTGTTAAATTGCTTTTTTCCAGCACTTTATGAAGCTTTATCTGAAGGAATTCAGTAGTAGTTAAGTCTCTGGAGATACTCATTTGAGCTCTCAACTTTTCATGACATTACTGTAAATATTTTTGACTAGTAAAAGCACAACAATAGTGTCTATTTTGTGGCAATTTTAGTAAATGAAACTGCTGTGTTCAGGTGTCTCAAGCTGATGGTGGAACGTGTATTTCACTATTGGTTTGGTCAGAAATATTCCAAAGTCTAATGAAGGGAAGACCAGAATGACTCTATATTTTGACTGACAAGAATAATGCATTCTAAACCAGTTTTCAGGTAAAGATGACTTTGAGCACACTGGGATGTTGCTTATGAGTTATTTCATAAACATAAAAAATGCTTAATATTTTTCATGCTGAATGGTCACAGTGAATTAGATGAGAAAATTCATTGTGCATTGATACAACTGGGATTTCACTTTGGCTTTCAACTAAATACCAGATCTAGAAAATAGCTTCCCTTAACTATGCTTTTCATTCAGATTTATTTCTGTGTCCCATTAAATCAGTGGGAATGCCACAACTGAAAGTATCATTTGCTGCAAAAGGATAGCAGAATTGGAGACTGTCTTGTTGGCTGAAATACTGGTGTTTTAAACGTGGTAGTATTCTAATTAGAGGAGTAAGGACCATTCTCAAAATAGAGGGAAAATGCTATTAATTTTTTTACTATTTAATATGTTGAAAGTTTTTGTTCAATATTCTGAAAACTGTAAGAGGATACATAAATGCACATGTGCAGGGAATGTACCTATGTTTTAATTTCAAGGATTAGTAGATTGTGAAGAATAAAGGGAAATTTTTTCAAAGAAGGCAGCTATGTGACAATTCTGTTTCCTTTGTCTGTAACACGGTGACATTCTCTTGTGACATGCAGAGGCTTCCTGTAGCTTGAGTATACAAGTTTAACTTCATGACAGTTGGCAGGCAAGAGACTCCTGCCTGGAACTCCAATCTGTAGTCACCCTCCACTCTGAGGTCTGGAGCTGTGGAAATGCTGCTGCTCCCCTGTTCCACACACAGCATTTGGGGCTCACAGGGATGTGTTGCTCTTCAAAGATTCTCTAAAAATGCCCCTTCAGGGCAAGAGATTCAGGGGTTTGGAGTTGTGCTAAAATCCCCAGCACAAATCCTTTCATTCTCCCAGTGGTGGTGCCTTGCTCATTGGAAATCTTTGATTCCCCTTGACAGGCCACCAGACAACCTCATCTCCGACCTGCTTTCAACAGGAAAATTGGACTAAATAAGCTCCAGAGATCCCTGCCAACGTAGAGTGTTCTGTGGCTCTGTGCTAACTTTGCAGAGAAGGAACTCAGAAGACAAGCTACAATGTGAAAGAAGGGCTTTGATATGTTTAGAAAGCATCATTGACTTTAAGCCTTTGACAGAATGGAAGGATAAATATATGAGAAAATGTATTATAACAAATAAAAGTATTTCTCCTTAATTTCTTAAAGATTAGTATGCAGTTTAGTACTTTCTGATAACAAAATTATGGTAAGAATTGCATTTCAAGCAACTTTTATTATTACACTGTCGCTATTTATCATTTGTTATCCTAATTTCTTCACTCTCTATACTACATATGATAAAAGAAATATTACACAAACTTTTTTTTTCTGGAAACTCAGTTAGGTCCATGTGTACTTGTTTAATTGAGTTGTTAACCTACTTAAGGGATTAACAGTAGAGAGAGAAATTGGGATTTTTCTCATCTAAACTGGACTGTCAGCTTCTGAAGGGGCTCTTCTGCTTCGTTTTTAAGCCGTCTTTCTTGACAAGTGGCTACTTTGCTCCAGTCCACAGAGGAGTATTCCATTAGAGATCTTGTGGTTGCCCGTACTAAAACTGCATCTTCGGGGTTCTCAAATGGTACTCTGCAAAAAGAACAAAGCAATGCCCATTACCTGAACATTTACAAACCACTTCAGAACTAATTTACGACAGGCACTCTGTAGAAAGTGAAAGAAGCAGTCATCATAACACTAAAAGTGAGACTTTGAAAATTTTAGATTTTCAGAAGGTGTTCTTTTACCAAATTTAAGAAAGCTAAACAAAATGAGAAAAGGTCAGAACCACAGGATTCTAATTTTTAAAAGGCTATAAATTATTTAAAATACATTTCTAGTAGACTTAAAAATGCTATTTTGTTGGGGTTTCTTTCCCCCCCACAGAAGTTATAATTGTATACTTTCAATGCTCTGATTCAATGGACATGATTCAAGTGATCTGATACCCATTAATGGAAATGTACATTTATTTCACTGAATCTCTTAACTAGCCTTGGCCAAATATCCATTCCCCAGGCTCTGAGTCCAGATCACTGTGAGCTTGTGTTCATATACCCTGCCAGAGCTGCCATCTGGGAGAGAAAAAGAACAGACTCACAGCATCAAAGCAGGATTGACAAGGAATTCATGTTAGACCAAAACCTTCCAACTCACATATATATCTTAGAAGAACGTATTTCTTAAGATGACCCTGTAGTAATACACCTCATATAAGCCACAGGGCTATCTCCACTGAGTATAATGCACTTGGTCACAAAAAGACACCTTGCAAAGCCTCACTATTTACATAAATAAGACTCAAGGCAGCTGTACATCCACTAGCTAAGGACAGCTAACTCCACTGAAGGCAGGTAAGAGTTTTTCAACAGAAATTAGCTTGATTTTAAAGAGCTGTGCTCAGAGTTAAAGGCTATCTTATGTAGGCTTTTATAATTTCCTTTAATGCATTTTTCAAATCTTCTCATGTAAAGCTGGGAAGTAAAGCCAAAACTGATATCTAGTTTGTAAATTTACAAAGTTTGCGTCTAAAATGTCATCACGTTAAAGTGCAACCTTTCTCTTGTCTCAATTCAGACACAGAGATAAAAGTTTTACATTTATTTCAAAACTGAACAGAATAAAAGTAATAAAAGTAGAGATTAAAAAAATTTCATTCTACAAGTCATAATATTTTCCAGAGATTGTACTTTTAAAGAACCAGTCAGGAGAATATTTTCTGGGACATAATAGAGAACAGCTATTCTGATGCTCTAATACTTTGAGCATGCTTTTTCTAGTGATCCATATTTGATCTTACAAATAAATGGCATATTTACATACCCATTTCCAAATGTGGAATACCTTTCAATACTAAATTTTAGACATCAAACCTAGTGGAGAGTTGCAGCTGTATTAAACACAAAGACATGAAATTGTTTCAAAAGCTCATTTTTACTGCACATTTTCTCTAGTTAAGGTATTTTTTAGGCATGGAAGGACGAAATTAAATGCTTCAGAGATGCAAAAGGAAGAAGAAATCCAAAGCATTACTTACTTATTTGTGTTATTTCCAAATTCACAACCTATAACAGAAAGGTCAAATTATGACATTAAATGGCTGTAGAACAATTTGAGTATCTGAGCATTGATTACTATCTTGATCCTAAATTGCTTGTTCATATTAATTGAACACTAGCATGTGGTTTGAAATATTTAAGATAATATTTTATTGAATTACTATGGAAGCAAGTATCAGTTGGGTTTTATGTGTATGTAGTCATTGTTAGTACAGTGCTTTCATTTTACTATTGTGATATATACATTTAAAAAAACTTGCAGTTATTTGATTACTTTCCAAACTTTCATCTACACTATTTAAAATGCTGTAATTTCAGTCATCTACACACAATGGTGGTTTTCTTATCTCTAAAACATCAAAACCAGACAGGATTGTGTGGGACATCAAAGTTTGTTCTGGATTGTGATAAAGTCTCATGATTCTAGGTGATATTCACCTGCTTTCTTGTGCCAGGATCATGCTGTCTTCCAGATCTGAATGTTTTAAGAACTCTAAAAATTGCTTTATATACTATTATAAGGCATCATTAAAATACACTCAGCTTGGAAAGCATAAAGAGGAATCTGTTTACAAAACAGGCAAGATATGTAAAATTTAGAGCACTGGAACAAAATATTTTCAAGAGATTATTTTGTAAAAGCACTAGAGGGCATCAAAACTCTATGATGCTGAGCATTGAGACTCAGAAGTGTACTGAGATGTTTTATTTAAAACTAAACACAAGACTCATACTGATGAAAATTGTTTGTTCAGCTATCTTTAAAGACAATTGTGTAACTGCAGGTTGTGACTAGAATTTATCTGCTGCAATACTCTCAGTAGGATTCATTGCTGTTGCTACGACTGCTTTATGAAGCAAATTGGCTGAGTTTTCAATGCATTTATTTTTCATTATTAAAACCAATAATCTTTCATCAGATGAAGAAAAAAAAAAAATTGCTAATTCAAATCACCAGAAGAGTATGCTTTTCCTTCCAGTATTATAAATACCTGAGGGCATTATCAGTCTTGTGGCTGGTTGAGTGCATCTGCTAGATCCCACCGTAGTCCCCGGGGATGATGTATCTACTCTCGTCCCAAAAGCTATTGACTGCATGATCCAAGCCCTTTTGGGATTACAAAGATGAAGCGCTGACTCCCTTTCTCTTTGTGTAACTACTGTTAAAAGGGATGTAAAAAAATTACTTTTTTTCCTATCAATTGAAAAGGCTGCATACAAAAGTGATTAATGTATTTTCTGTGCACTTTTGTAACAGTAGTAATGTTATTTACACAATTTCACAGCAATTCGAAATGGGAACATGGAGTGATACTTTCTAAGGTTTTAGGGTGAGGCCAGGCACAATAAAATATCTTGAGTGCAGTAGGATCAGAAGTTTTAAATGAAGATGCTAGAAAGGAAGACTTTTCATACTGCTTAAATGAGCTCTGCAGAAGTCAGTAAGGATTTGGAAGTGTCTTTATGAAGAGCAAAAACAAGCTCGGTTTAAGGCCAGTTCAATTCCCATTGGTCAATTACAGATAAAAACCCTAGGAGTGGAATCAAAAGAAAAGTGTAACTCTTTCCTGTTTTGCACTTTAAAAGAAATAACTTCAATTTTTAAACAAATAGTTTGAGACCATTAAATCAAATTGGGGGTGGTAGCTTCAATTATATGAACTTTATACTAATCTAGTACTTGAGCTAAGGAACAGAAGTAAGCTAAACTTTTAGAACAAGTAACTGGCAGAAGCATTTTCAGTTCAGGGAAGTTTTGGAGTCATGGTGTCTAGGGGACCAATTAGGAAGGAACTGCAGTAGTCATGCCTGAAGGTAACAGAATTGAGCACGTCTTGTATAAAGGAGACAGCCAGGACTATGCTCTGGTAATGTTCTACAGATGGTGAAGAATCTTTGTAATGTAAGAGAAATAGTTCACTAATAGTAAATCCAGGATACAGTTTGATACAAATTACTGCCTCAAGCCTTAATCCAGGACTGACTCCAGTGGAACTGTATTTAGGAGATGAAGTCCAGGAAGTTTTATGGAAGTGTTTCTGGACATGTAAATGCAACACGTATTTTTCAGCACATTAAGCTTCAGTCATTGCTCCCCAGTCAAAAAGTGATATTTTGTAACACAGCCCGACAGACGTGTTAAGCACAACTGTAACACAAGACCAAAAGCTCAGGAGAGTGGCGGTGCCATTGCAAAATGACTGTGTGAGCAAATGGGCACATGATCAGATCCAGCAGCTCCTGTGCAGCCCCTGGCACCTGCTGGGGCCCATCCACCAGCTTTCCCTCATGAAGCTGCACAGGCTCCCAGCACCGGCAGGTGTCCTGCGTCTGCCTTGCTCAGCCCTACATCCTGATTCTCTTCGAGACTTGGAGCAGGTTTTCAAGATGGTACCATTTCAAGATGGTAGTGGTTTTCCTAGCTATTGTCTTATAAAATAGAGCTGAGGTGGGAATCAGCTACTTTCTCAGTGCTCTCCAGTAATTTTCAGTCCTGCCAATCACATAGTTCTCCAAATACCAGAGACAAAAATCACCAAAGCTGATTTTCTGGGTTCGTTGTGGCATGTTTATGGATTCACTGATTTAACATTTGGCTATTCTTAAGAAAACTATTTTTTTTTTTTTTACTGTAAAATTTATAGTAGACAAGCTGTGAAAGATCTCTTCATGACTTACGAATATTTATATTTGAAAGCTTGGTCTGCATGTACTTTATCAAGAAATGCGCATATACATATTTAAACTGTATGGAAACATGTAGGAAGCTCAGGATATTACCATACCTAAGTAAGCACATTCACCCATATCAACATAACAGTCTGAATGCACTAATG